TAGGCATAGAATGTCTCACTATAAATTAGTGAGTAGAAGTGGACACTTCTGTTAGGCTGTACCCTGACAGGGCCAAGCATTGGCTCCTAACCTCTTGCGTCGCATCGCTAACATTCTGATACATTCGAACGTTCCTATAATCTAATCAATTTTTTTTTTTCTTATATAGCATTCAGTTTGTCTCTAATTATTATCTACTTGTGGTAGCAAAGCAGTAACAGCTGCTTTTGCTTTTTATGCAACCGCTGACTGCTCGTTGACCTGGCATAACTGCGGGTACGACGATTTGACGCGTGACGATGTGTATGATCGTGTGGTCATGCGACGGTGTGACGGCGTGCTGTACTTTACCGATCAGTCGCGATTCTATGCGCCTGCAGTTGTACTTCTGAGTCCGCCGCCGCTGTGGCCAGCCAAAGATCGCTCCTACCGCCGTTGATTGGCGCCACCGTCTTCAAACGTTCGACACCAAAAATAACAGAGAAAAAATACGGCACGCACGACGCAATGCAACAGCGTTGACTGGCTTGCCACCTAGCAGGCAGGCAGGCAGGCAACAGTAGCAGCGGCGGCCACAGAAGCAAAAGTGGACAAAACCTCCAAAAAGACGCCAGAAACACGGAGCGGACAGAAGCTTTACGTTGACGGCCGTTCTTCCTATCTTGGACATGACAGTGCTGGCAGCGTCAATGGAGTCGAACGAAAATCTAAAACAGAACGAAATAGCCACAGACCGCAAAAGATGACGCTGGGGGTATAAGCGTGCATAATACGTCTGTACCTTTTCATTGTGGTAGAAGGATAAGAGTGAGCAACCGCGCAGGTTAGCGAGTGCTATGTACTTATTCGTGGCGGATCCGGGCTCGACACAGGCACACATCAGTTCTGCTTTGAGCCTGCGAACGTCGGCATCAGCAGAAACCAGCAGCACGAGAGGAGGACAAAAGGTCGGAGGTCGTCACCGTTTCCAGGCATGTCTATTTCTCCTCCGAGCGATGCTAATGGTGGCCGCGTAGTCGCCCGGATCTGCTATCACTTCTGCCGCTGCTAGCCACAACTAGTCGACTACTGACGGCAGTAGTAGCGGTAGCAGTGATAGTCAAACTCGTAACGGTAGTACTGCGAAATGGGGCGAGGAGGTGTCAGCGTTTTGCCTTATGAGCTGCCGGCACAACAGAGCAGAACTCGCAAACTCCAGAAACTTGATTTTCTAGAACATTGTAGGCAGACAGCGTGAAACAGTAAGGTAACGCTTTCGTTTAGCCAAACCTTTGCCTTGCAGCGTGTCTTTGACTCGCTTTTCCCTTCTCGGATCGACTGACTCTTCAGTAAAACAATGCACGGATGGACGGCGCCCCACAGCTTTTTCGTAACGTTATTAATGCTGCAAGTTTTCCACGCTTGAGATTCGTACGGCGAATAGAACGCTACAAGGCTTCTGAGTCACGGTCTTGTACTCTAGCGTTTCTAAATGAGGCGAATAGTATCAATGAACCGAAAATATACCGAGAGAGATAGATAAAGAGCAGAAGAGATAATTGTATTAAAATGGCGCCGCTTATGGTTGAAAGCAGTTAAATTGTGCATGAGATAACTGGTCACGATACGATTACGCTGACTGTCATTGGTCGTCATATTTCTAAATGATTTTAGTAGCGATATGTTCATCCTTGTGTGGCTCGTCCGTTCATTAATGTAAAATAATAAATAAGATGAACCCCGATAATATCGACAGGAAAGGGGGTATATCCCGGAATGACATATTGCCGGTTGTAGACATTCTGTGAAACACATAGTGACGATACGTAAAGTAATACAGGTCATCCAAAAGACATCAGTCCACACAGCGTGCTATAAATTCAATTAATGAGTTGCTTTATTTTATGTTTTTGGACAGATTTTCTACCGAGAACATAATTTATACGTAGAACAGTGTCGTTAAATAGGAAAGATTGAAGGAACACTTTTTATTTAAAGCACTCGTTGATGTTAGACGAACATTACTCCTAACGTCGAATGGTCGATGGATAATAACGGTACTGCTTATTTTTTGCGCCCCAACAGTGTAGAATATGTAGTTAACAAAATCGGCACCCTAAAACATATTTCGATATCTCTTGGTAAAAGCTTTCCACGTCGAAGGTAAAATAAGGTAATTAGGTTTTCTCGTAAAGATCAGCTTTATTTTTGAGCAAAGGCCAATTGGCCATCAGGCACGAGCTAATTTAATTGTTCGTTTCAGGTTATTCTAATGTCCTTAGGTGTGCTATGTGCATTTGCCCCTTTCCCATTCCGAGTGCTTCCCTCATGTCAAAGCAACGCCACCCAACAGATAACGTTAATATAATTCGATTTTTTTTAAATGGAGAAATGTATGAGTCGGCAATGTTAGCATGACGACTTCAACTACATCTACGGACTGTCGATGTCTGGTTGCGCTCCTTTCCTTACCGATTTCTGTATCCGTGTTCCGTGGACGAGATTTTGTTGATGAGACGTTACGGCACCGGGAGGCCAAACTTTTCAAACTGCCAAAGGAGATGAGAGCAAACGCCGCGTTCACTACTACTAACATTAACAGCCAATGGCTGTGCTGATAGGCGATAAATGAAGGCATGACTGTAGGATGACTGAAATACGTTTAGTCGTGGTGCCCCGGTGGGGTTCGCTTCTGAGTAACCGTCAATGAACGTACGAGCGAGCTTCATTGAGGTTCGGCACGACGCTAAGCGGAATATTGCGACGTTCATGCCGGAACCGTTTCATCCCAAACTATCTCTCTCAAAGAACCAAGTTCACTGTTTTTAGCTTATACACGTATTTGTTTTTTTTTCTAATAGCAGCACAACCCCAATTATTGAAGAAACTAGTATTGCATTTTCAGCCGTCTAATAACGCACCAAAAACGCTATTTAATGCAGAACATTCCGGTCAAAATAGTCAGGAGCAATCCTTCTGAGAGCGATGTTAAGATAAAGTTCAGCTGAATGAATGCTACACAAATCGATCAAATATATATAAAGAGATGAGTATTGACATTGCTATGTCAGAATGTGATAGTGATAGAATCTTCCGCTTTGACATTTAAAGCTGTAACACTTTCGAACAACGGCTTGTTAGCAGGCCTAATAGCCTTAACGTTTTTCATTGAGAGTGATCTGTCCATCAAATAATTTCGATAAAACTTACCTTTTCTAAGGTAAGTTTAGGGATTACAATGGCACTAATCGGCTAGATTCTTGCTATTTATCGAGAGCCACTGTCTCCTAGGGTTGAACAAAAATTTACTTGCTTATTATTCTGTTCTATATTATTCCACGAAAGGATCATAATCATAATCATAAAGATCAGCTAAATATTTGCTTGATATATAACATCAAGTGTCGGAACAGAGCTCTTAACACTTGTCAGAGCAGGCAAAAGTTAAGATAGCTAAGGTTATTACTCGTTGCTTAGCGTCTTGAGGTTAGAATAAATTTTTTTGTCATGACAAAAAGAGACTGACAAAAATTCGAAAATGGGTGCGGCTATATTTAGTGCGTAAATAGTAATTTGTCGTTTTAAGCCGCTGATCTTGTTTATGGACAAATTTCCATAAAGTCGTTATAAAATGTACGGTAATGTTTGATGAATATCGACGGTTCTAGGAAAACAACCACAGCCTGTGAACTATATCGTAGCGAAATAGGAAATGTGTCTCTCTTCGTGTTAAGCATCCCGAAAAAATTCAGACAGGAAACAGTGTTATAGCATTTATAGATGTTTTAAGCTTTGTAAAGATCAAGTTTAGGGTCAAAATAAATGTAAGGTTAAAATACAAAATATAAAAAACGAGTCTTTCCTGTGCGAGCCAGCTCAGTGTCTACATTAAAACAAAAGCGCGCTCCACTTTATTGGGGTATCATCTATAGCATAGGGAAACGTATCGTACAGTTTCTTTTGTATCTTTATGGACCCGCTGTGAAGGACAGGGGGATTCTAAACCTCTGATGTACAGTTGCCCACTTTTTGTTTCACATTATTTTAATGCAGTAGAATAATCGGTAAACACCTAATATTACAAGATATCACCAAAATGCTATATCGTTAAAAACGACCGTGGGGTTTTCATGGAGACGTGCTTACGCGGGGCTACGGAGCGACCACTAATCGAATCTACGGCTGTTACAGCCCATAGCGCATGGGAACCGTAACGCCATTACAAGTTTCTGTTGTATTTAAATCGTATACATTTATTAGTAGCAATACAAGTACTTGATAATAATAAAGTACATATAATAAGCAAATATTCGAATATGTGTCTATCAATATACATACAAGGTGGGGCAGAAGTTTATCAGCATATACATGTGTATATATATATATATATATAGTGCGCGCCAAATGAAAAAAATATTTATTGCATTCGTTAAAGCAGCGCTTGTGGTAGATATTGGAGCTGTGTAAACCGATGGTATTAAGTAGGCCGACATTTACTTACATCGTCCCTGATATAAGCCGCCTGATATTAAGTACCTTGTTCAGTCTTATAGTTTTGCCATCTGGTCTGTCGTTATAGTCGATTATTTGTGAATCGCCTGGTGTTTCACAGATGAAAACGAAATTCATTCATCCATTCGCTCTTGTGCGACGAGTGTCTGGACTCAGCCAGATCATCGAAAGATGTAGAACTCTCTGTTTCTTCAGATGGTTTTTGGGGTAGATCTTTGAACTGTTAAGTGGATAAAACTTAGCGGAATTATGACGCATATCAGAGGTATCCACGAAGTGACGTCAATTGAGAATAATAAGCAAGGTAAATATTTTGTTCTTGAATTAAAAGTTATTTGAGTACACGTGTTTGTGTCGCGACCTTCCCGCCATAACGGGTATCACCTTACAGAGTAGTTGCAACAGACTGATGTGTTATTGCGTCGAATAGTCATAGTGGCAACGCAAATAAAGTGTGAGCCAATATTTGTGCTATGGCGGTGTGTGTTTATTCATAATAACTTAGTTATCTCATAAAGTTGAGTTAATCGTTGTGTTCGGTAGTTGTGTTGTTCTTCAAGTAGTGACATTCCATGATTAGCTTGAGGGCTACAATCTCCACGGTTGCAATATACTGCTAGTGGACAATGTTACTTGTAAACTCTAACGGCCAATCATTTATATAGAATAGATAGAGCGCCACGGATCGCGGAGACTGATACCCAATTTCCTTTTTATCGTTTAGCTTGAAATCTATTTTTTAGAATACACTTGATGCAACTAATGTCAGTGAACATTGCTTTGTAGTTATATATAACTATATATATATAATATAATCTTCATGACAACTACTGTTTATTAAACATTTATTTTTATCAGACTTCAGTGACGTTGCCCGCTGGATGTCGAGAAGATTTCAGTCTTCTGTGTGGATCCGCGCAATATACTGCGCAGGCGATTGCCTGTGCGCTTGCCACACTTCTCTTCTATAGCTTGGACGGGGCAGATCCTAAGCCAAGTACGAATCAGACTAATTAATCTTCATAGACGGGAAGACATTTCGTATCACAGTGTAAATAAGACTCCTTTGATATATTCCTATAAATGAGCACTATACGATTAGATGCCTAGTGCTTCCTCATCGGGTTATGTGGAACTCGTTGAGTGGCTTATTGATGTTTATAAAGTCGATCCGAATCATGGTAAATTAGCGTCCGAACACGACTTGGATGTTAACTACATAAAATAAAAGGTACGGATTTTGTTACTAATTCCATGTTTGTTGAAATGTGGTGTTCACAGTAACGTTAGATTGTCACACACAAATCCGGCGAACTTTGAAGCCGACTAAGTTTTGAGGTAGTTGGGTTGAAATGTTTTTTTAATGTGTTCCTTATTTTTTGCATGGTTCTCCCAGCACCTTGGGAACAGTCACATGCCTACTATTCGTGTCTCCATATGTAATTCTGTCTATGGCTTTTTGAAGTCTTGGTAGTGGGATACGCTTGCCCTCTCATTCCACTTCTGAAAGCAGAAAAAGTTTCATAATCACACGGACGTCGGAAGCCGACGTTGCTTATGCCTTTGCTTAGTCCAGCCGACAACTGAGGTACGGTGTTGCCATTAAGAAACCAGAGTGCGTATATTCAACAGTCTTGCCCACAATTCATGGGTCTCCATCCATGGGCAAGTATCTCATTCTAGCAGATGGCTCTGATATCTATTGCGAGTGCTACCAGCACCTTATATCTGATCTCACTCGACACTGCCATCAAACACGATTTTTTCCAGGTTGACGCAGTTTTTTTACTTGGCCCCTCCGGCTTGGCTGGTGGTAGAGATTGAACCTTGGATCGCCCATGGCGACCGTATGCTCCAGAAAAGTTTTTAGTTGATTGAGATTCCGGGAATTCTGCGTGGAGTACACCATTTCCAACTAGGCTGCAGTCAATTCACGAAGGACCCATTTTTTTGCTTATTGTCCACATTTGTGTTGTAATGGTATAACACGTTACATACGAGATGCAATTTATTCGACGAAGTCCTTAAACTTTCAAGCTCCGTCTTTGTGCAAAGTTTTTTGCGACAATGCATTTTCTTTGCTTAAATCTCAACATCTGATCACCTCCTCTTTGGTCTTTCATACTCTTCTTCGTTTTTAAAAAAAAGATTGCATTTTTAATGTCCGGTGCTTTCTCTTAAGGCCTTTTTGCCAAATGTTCATTTCTCCTGGAATAAACTAAACGGGTTTTCACTCAGAAGTTCCTAGAAAGCTGGAATCTTAAGCAAATGAATTTCGTCCTATAGCGATGCATATCTCTTTCGTTATTCAATTTTAAAACCCGCCGAGTTTGTTTGCAACAGCGTAATACTTAACGTTTATATGTGTCCCTCGTCATATTTTCTTAGATTAGGGTGGACTTGGGATCCGGATGGAGTTCATTGTACAGAACAGCATTCTACAATCATCTAGACGTAATCTGTGCTTTATTGCAGAGCGAGGGGGCTTCGCTGCATTTTATTGACCGGAAGAGCCTACCTCCTTTCGATCCTGTCGTTAGGTGCTCGGACAAAGATTTCTCAAGACTTAAATTGCTAATAATGAAAACAATAATTTCTATAGGAATAGTGCACTGTTGTCATATCGTTTGATGTAGTCTTGTGAGATTTTTCGACCTAAATTTCAGGCAACCACGCGCTACTCAATAGGTGGTAAATGGTGTTTACAGAAAATTATATTGTAGCATATATTCAATATCATCTCTTAGATAGTATAAACTGCTATAGTTGATAGGACCTTGATTAAGCCTCAGTTTGTTCTTATGGCTACTGCTTTAGGATCCGTATATTATAAGAGTGCGGCCTTTACTTCTAGTGGTACGAACGCATTTCTTTTAAAGTGTTTATTCTTTTACTACGCCTATCGGTTTTTCTGCTTTCTCTGAGAAATGTTTCTTCATGATTTCACAGCAAATACAATTTGTAACGAGGCGCAGCCATAGTAACTTCTTATATAGGAGTAGCAACACGATCAATTACATAACCTTCAAGCAGACAACAATAAAGCATCTGTGCTCTATTTCGTTTAATGACATCCTGTAGGGACTGATTACATTGGATGCGCTATAGCCTACCAAATCCATGCAACCTTCACGTATGGAACATGGACGACAACCTCAACTTGGGCTTAAACCGACATAGTGTGGCTCCAGAGCCCAAAATACATCCGGAATTAGCACCGAGTACAAGGTATTGTCGTTGAAAGGTAAGTTACATATTGTGATGTGCTGAACATATTCGAAACGTGAACAACTCAGTATGACTTATATTTATGGCATTACTATTAAATTTTCAATGCTATATTCTGAGCACAAGAAGCAGACACTATATTCATTACGTGTTCATTGATATTCTCACATTTCCAGGTTTCATACTGTATTTTTAACCGAATGCGGAACAGGTGCGGCCATTGTCATGATGGCCGCCTGGTGATGGGTGCTCAAGCGCCGAGACTGACGCCACAACAAATTTCTATGGCGCCGTTATTGTACAGGTTGGCATGTGCACTTGTATTTGCTATTATATTATCGTATGATGTCCAGATAAAGCCTGCTGGTGTGTTTTAGGGACATTGTCCATGTCCAATGTCCATTTTAATTGATCGTGTAGTGAATTGATAGCCTGAGTGCATGTTATTAAAGCACAGCTTTTTTCAGCTATTATCAATATAATATCAACATATAGCAGCTTAATTGTCGGACAAGTATATAGATACTTAAGGGTGCGACATTACACGTACACATGCCATCTATATATTGTAGATGTGAGAAAGGTTTGGGACGTTGTCATCTGATTTTTGTTTGAAGTAATGACCTTTTTCAAATATGCTCCAAATCGCGGCTACTCAGCTTAGACACTGAAGGAATCATCTATATATGTGGCCAATAGATGTTGGTGTTTAGTTTAGGTACAGATACGATGTGCGACTTCCTAATGGACGCCGCAGCTAAGAGTGTCTAAAAGCTACAACACTTGCTTACTCAGTATGAGTGAATCGAACAGCTGAGCTTACGAATACGGTGAAACAGGCTCATAAGGGATACCACTATATTTGCAGAACTGAGCACGTGCTAACAGTTGGGCCTCTGTGCATAGCCATCGAACCCCCTGCTAGCTATCCGATTATTTTGTTTTAGCTAACCATACATGCCATAATATGTTCAGCTAACGTACTATAAATTCAATAATTTACATCTGTATTTTGTAATTTTTGATGATTCAGTGATCATGCTGATATATCTGCTAACGCCTAAATTTAGCTCTAGTATGGAACCGCAGCGATTTAATCGTGCACTATCCTGCAGGCGGATTTAGTGTTTAATAAATATTGTCCAGTCATTTTGGCAAAATATATCCAATGGGCTGCTGTATGTAAAATTAGAATTTCACAAGTAAGTCATCTCGAATAAGAATCTATTTGCTATTCAAAGAGCCAAAATCAACATTACATTTTTTTAAACTATATTCATAGTATTTACGGTGAGTTATGAATAGGCTGGCGCTTCAGTGATACCTTTGATGATAGATTAGAATATGAGCTTTGCCTGCTTAAGAAATTATATTATTACATATTCCTGTTACTACACTAGAATCTACACCAATAAGTAGTCTTATTGTATATTCAGGTACGGGTACGGGTCTGTTTCTATGGGAACGTAAAGATCTGATACACTCACAAGTCGTGTTCAACATGAAGATAATGGCAGCTGACTCTATCGTCAAGTGGTTATATCTTGTTTCAAAGCAGGTAGGCATTACAAGAAGAATACGACTTGTTTAGAGAAATACAACACAGGCATTTTACTTTTTAACTGTATGCATACCTATACAATAATTCGCAGTATTACGTATCGAACAGATACGATAGGTCATAGGATCCAGGAGTTGGGTTACCGGCAAATACGTTACCTCGTTATAATATCTAAATACTAATACAAACCTGAATTATTAGGTAATGACAAAAAATCAACAAACATTGCATGCACGTTTCTACATGGTGTAATGGGCAGCTTACTGTATGGTTTTTGCGTCAGGACAAAGTGTTCAGTGGTCCTTTAGGCAAAAAAAGCGTAGCCACACCTCAGGCTGGTTCACGCGGGTCCGCGGCAGTGGCTGCCGTAAAGGGCCAGGAAAGGTACAAGGCTATTTGCATGTATCGTTCGTAAACGGCCGCAGAATGCCTAATCTTCACAGAACTGTGGCTATAGCAGGCGATTCAAAGTACCCCCTTAAAATTCAGGTTAGGGAATATTTAGTCAACCAAGATTATGAACTTTCGATTTGGATTATCAAGTTCTTTTTTTGTGCACCTTGTCGAACTTCAGAAATCTCTGTCGAATCTAGTTTTCAGGATGATTCTGTGGTTTTAAAATCGTCACTGTGAATCGGCCAAAGAAATGACGTAAATTCGTACTTTGGCAGTCATCCTAAAGAGCGTTTATGTAAAAGAGACAGAATTATTATAAAATTGCAGTTAGCTTGAATCAAGCTTATTCATATGAGGTTTGTATGGCACAGTAACTAGAGTACCTGATATTCCTATTAGGTCTGCATCCTGAGAAGATGTTTGCATTTTTGCAATTGAAAAAAAAGGCAATTAAGCCTGAATAAGCGTGAATTCTTGTTGAACCTTAGATGACGTTTAACTAAGGAATATTCGCTTGTAGCAGGAAAAAAATTTATCGCTCTACAGAATGGACCCTATATTGACGTAAGGCGTATAGGGCGCTCGTGCGTGAAGGCTTCTCAGTTCACAGAGGATGTTATGAGGTGTTGCTTAAGAGTTTTCTTATCCAGCAAAAAACATATCTGCAAAACAGAAGATCTTCTCTTGCAAACTAAATTCGGCTAGTTATTGTCCGAATCGGCCTTACTCAGCAAAACAACAGTTCCATTATCTGTATGTAATTTATCGGTAATCAATCTAAAGGATGACTTTGTCAAACTACGCAATTCATAGATTGTATGTATGTATGTATGTACATTGTTATATTTATAGCCTGACAGAAACTTGAGATAAAGAATGCTGTGATCACTAGTAAACGTTTTTTTTTTTTTAATGCATGTTTTGTAGTCTCGTGGAACTAAATGAGGATCTCGGAGACGTGGAGCTTACTTGCACAAATTGAGTTGCTCCAAGCGATCGTGGGCCTGAAGAAAGGAAAGGAGCTAGTTCAAAGAAGTTCATTGTTCACTCGATTCTCTTACGGGCAAGGAGAAAAACTTCCAGGACGACAAGCAAGACACAAAACAGACTCTTGCGGAAGTATTAGGTACACTATTGGCAAGTAAATCAGATAACTGTTTCCCCGTTACATTGTATATATATAATGTGTGTCATTCACCAGTGGGCTATTGCCATATTTGGAGGAAATTACACTGCGAAGGCGTGCCAAATCCAGCCGTCATCAACTATTCTACACCGCTAAATATGACAGTTTTGAAAAAGTACGCCTAAACCATAATGTGTTAAGTCCGCATTCATTTGTTCAAAGGTGTACGCCATTGTACTGTACTTTCAATAGTTTAGAAAGCAAATCAAGCTAAATAGAATAATTACAGTTTCTTTAAAAATTATTATATAAAAATATTCTTTTATATACTTATTAATGATGATGATGATGACAGCAATGATTGTGCGATCTTCATAATGTTGAACTAAATTAATATAGAATAAAAGGATATCCCTAACGAGACGAAAATCCTGGATGCTGTGTTATATTAGACTTGAGTAGAGAGCTTTGATGTTGTTGGAAATCAATAGAAAATGCTCGCCTGGGTGAACTAGGACGCGTCATTCGTTTGCTGTACCAAGGAAAGCAACCACACCCAAAATAAAGCTATGACATTTTTGATCTCGCCAAAAGCTTAAAAATCAAGGCGGAGAAATCAACAATAAAAAAATTTCTGATGTTAGTTGCATTCATTTGCAGATAATTTTTCTGAATGCTGAATGAGAATTAGTTTACATGGTTCAATCGGCGCTCTTCACTTAAGTGTATACGTAGATAAGTACAGCGCCACTTATTAAATAATGGAATTGTAGAATCTTTGCGTGGGAGAAGTAAAATAGGGACTCTTCCTGCATGCTCCGTTATACCCATAAGTAGCCGCTTCATATGTATGTTACTATATTGATTAAAGTTGGCCGCACCTAGATATTGCTCTTAAGGTCTTTTTTCTGTCGAAAAAAATCGTCATATTATAACGAAAAGCCTTACTCAACCTTTTTTACTTGAAGAAAACAATACGAAGATGGGGGCTGTTATCGCTTTCTACGAGGTCGTATCTAGACAATTTGAACTAGTCTATACTCTATCCTCACATATCATTTAAATTTCGTCAGACATGTGATCCTATTCACTTTCATATATATATCACTTTTTCAGGTTGTCTGTGACATTCTGTAAGAATCTATCTGTATGTTATCTAGTATTATTGATAAGTCTGTTTGCTAAATAAGCTCACCCGAATCTCGAATCAAAGTATCGTTTACATTTTGACACTACTGAAACTTTCGTCGAATAAAAATTAATTACAGGCGGAAGATGGGAACTACAAGGTACCCGCGCAACGACGCGTTTTGACATGCACAAGCAAGTGCTTCCGAAGGTTGTGTGCATTTGGAGGGGATGATCTGCATTATTACATGTTATATTCTTGAGCGAGTGAGAATTTCTATATAATACTTTAATTTTGATTAAATAATTTATAAATAAAATCATTTTGATTTAAGATTTGACTTAATAAAAACACAACGGCGGGAACAACAGGTCTAGAAAAAAAAGCTTTTTCTGCTCGGAACCGTAGAAAGCTTATTTCTAAATTCAAACGTAAACTGACGCTCCTGGCTGCCCTACAATCAAAGTTTCTGTGAGTGACACCTTGTAGTACTTGTACTTGCCTGTTGAATTTCAAAGAAAGCATAAAAAATGCTAATTAAAACTATTGCTGTATACATGTATGTAGAGGCTGTACTTTTTTGCCATTTTAACTCGAGAAAAAAATACAACTTTCAATGTTTTTAAAGACATTTTTGGTATGAAAACTGAGACTTAAATTAATTATTATCTTGACTATAAATTATGTTAGATAAAGAATTTTTTAGTTTTGTGCCTTGAAAAGAATACATGTTATTTGGCTCATTTTGATGACTGTATAGCTCATAATATATATATATATATATATATATATATATTATCACCCAATCCGATTAAACACATGTATTTGAGTATGTCGTTCAATCCTAGGATTGTCTTCAGACCTGAAATTCACTAGCAGTTGCCGATTAACCTTTGTTGCCTCGACTAAAAAGTATGGCTGAAAGACATATCCGCTAAAGACCTCTAGGTCTGCAAAATCTTTTTTATGAGTGCGTCAGCAAAATAGCTTTTTGCAACTAGCAAACAGCTATTTTGCTGACGCACTCATTCATGTACACACCTTTTGGCAAAAAAAAAATGTTTAAATATATCTATATATATGAAGATAGTCTTAGTAAACGGTATATCTATAAACAGTATAAATCGTAACAGTGGAATATAATGACAAACAGAATACAAAATAAAACACTACAAAAATATGAAAGAAACATTTAAACTCGTTTCTTACCGAGTGATGATTAAACTGTTTAAAATAACTTTCCGTGTTATTCTAGGTAAATTGTAATGTGTATATGTATGTTTGTGAATGTTGAATGCATGTAAGAGCTGTTCCGTGTTGATGACATCAAGGCAACCACTGTGAGCTTATCGAAGTCGAGCACTATATCGCCCAGCTAAAATTGCTGGAATTCATTTTATCTCTAACTGTAACGAGCAACTTTAGCCGAATCGCGAGTCACTCGTAACTAAAATTAGTCAGTTCCATGGAAACACTGAAGTCGTGGAGGTCATTGCGTTAGATAATTTCATATGTTTTCATCTGATTTAGCTAGTCAGATTATTTATGCGCGGACTTCATCTATGTGAACTTGGCTGCCATTTTGGAGGGACGTTTGTTTAGTAATTGGTTTGGAGAGCCGATATTTGTTGTTCTCACAGAGTTTCCAAATGCAAAACGTTCTCTAGACGCTTTACTTCAACTGAGTGGATGCTTTGTTTCGATTGACACGCTGCTTAAACTTCCCCAAAAAACAAGATTATCGTGTTTCTTCTCATTAAGTTATTACCCACAAGCAAAAACGTCTGCAAGGTAGGTTCGTTATAATGGTGAAACATGCTCATCTATCTACAAAACTATGCATTTATTTCCTGTTCCTTTACTACCAAATAATCCGAGTACGAATGGCCTGAAACATCTAGGTTACGGGTACCGGACAAAACTTCCGGAAGCAAATACGCGTATAATAGGAGGTGAAGTAACTCCACTGTCGAGTAACGTGGTCACCGAAGCAAGCATCTATAATAACAACTTTGATTCCATTTTACCTATATGATAAGTAGCCATATAGTCATGGTGAACTCTTTGTAGAACGTAGCAGAAACATTCATTGATTTAAGAGATGTTAAAACGTACTCTAACTGCATAAGGTAAATGGTACAGGCCAAGTATTTTCTTAACGGTACGTTAACTTGTTTGCGTTTTAGATCTGTGAGTGAGTGGTTCCAGAATCAATTAAACGATGATAGTCACCTCCTAAAGATCTACGAAATCGAAAAGAGCTCAAGATACCTTATAAGTACAATGTTAAATTTGATGCTCTAATACATAGTGCGCTATAGTTAGCACGCTGTATTTCTGTAATTCTTTCGTGCTTTAAATAATTATACGGGATTTGTTAACTATGTTATTGAGTTTACTGTTTTGTTTTTCTGCAGTGGACCAAAGACAGTTTCCTTCGATGTCGTACAATCTCAGAACAGAAGAACGAGAGAGGTTTGCGAGAAGCTTTTAAGCGTACGGTATCCACAAATTCCGATATTAAGCACAAGATCATACCAGGCGATGACATAGGATCACCAAGAGACGAAATGCCAGTAGTTTCAAACTTCAGAATACTTACTTCTTAATTAATTAAAAACGTCTCAAATGCCTGTATACCATCCAGTTCTTCATATACATCCAGTTCTTCATTATTTGGGTATATGGATGCGTTTCCGGGTGTGGATGAAGAAGTTGCTCTTATGACAGCGCGTAAAAGGAGCAAAGCATAGGAAATGTGACTGCTTTTATTAGGCATTACTATAAGTAACAGTTGAACGTTATAAAAAAAAACTGTATGATATAGTGTGGAATCCGCAGCGGGCGGCTAGAAAGGATTTCGGTTACACCGTATCAATATGTTAAGAGTTATTAATAATATAAAAAAAACTTATTATTGCGTGAATAATTATAACTCGACTTGTTATTCTTGAATAACAATATTTTGTTTCCGGGTCGTGAATTTTATTAGTTAAAAATAGAAGGAAATCGAGCGAAAATCGGTGTGTGCACTATTGATCGTTAGATGAAGTTTTTGATACCAAAACATCTGAGTTCATTGCCAAAAGCCTTTGGACAAATGCCGGCTCGAAAGGGGCGGTAGAGGCAAGCTTTTTTTCTGTTAGGAGAATTAAAACTTCTTAATTAGTTATTATTAGGTTACTTTATTATTATCCTCTTCAGTCAGATATCATAGACTATTTATAATTTCTATCTATCCTGAAATACAATCTACGTCCGTTGATACTCCTTTTAATGTTATTTCTCAATCAATGCACTGGTAGTTCGTAATAGTCTATGAGGTCTATCAATAAGAACGAGGTCAAGGAAATGTAAAAAAAAAAGAATTCTTTATATTTTTACCCACTGCATTAACGATAACTCAGTTGCAATCATAAATTGTAAGGAAAATGTAAATAGAACCGAGAAAAATACGCGTCTACTAAAACGACCTAAGCTCGATACTTTACAGATAACGCATTAATCAAAAGCGTATCTCAGCTAGCGCAAATCATTGAGATCGAGGAAAGGGTTAAAAAATGCAAAATTTTGCATCTGTAGCCCATTCAAACGCCGAACACCGAACTATTGCTGATCTATGAAGTCTGCTTCAATCCCGATGAGAGGATAACCATAGAGCGCGTAAGGTACCCGCAGCTCTGAGGTAAACCCGTGTGGATCTTGCCCCATTTCTGATGGCTACGTGAAGATCGCAATTTGGCTAAATTGTTTACCTCATTATTTAGTTCATCAGTTAGTATACCAGGCTCAAACGAAAGCACTATGGGGAAAATACAGGCATAGTATGAAACATGAAAGTTTGCATCTTCTGAGATTATAAAATTTAAAACAAAGCGTATTACATTAATATGGCTAATATCGTAAAATGTAAAATAACTTTCGCTTCCGCAGAATATATGTTATAAAGATGTGATCAGCTTCTATTCTGCTAGTATATATCGTCTGGTCATATATATCTGGCTATACCAAAGATGGTCATATAAATACCGTTGATTTAAGCTGTTAAACTATTATTATTATATTACTAAACATAGATGTAGCCTACATTTTATTATGCAGGCAATACAGGTGTAATAAAGGGAGAAAGCTGTTCCTTACTTTTAAGTGTATAAGTTCTTTGGGATTGATGGTATAATAACATGATTAAAGTAAATTTTATTTAGATGATCACAAACTTCTCACTGTCGATTTGTAGTTAACCAGTATAAGGCACAGTACATGATCGATAACAAGATGTCAATTTATGCAATTGTAATGTCAGAGCAGCCTCGGAAGGTCTCCTGAAATCCGCATCCAAGATGCCCAGTTCCGTTCAAGCATAAACCCCATCGGTTACCTGCCAAAAGATGAAGATTTAAAATTTAATAATTGGATGTATCACGGAAAAGTGTTCCGTTGTATGACAACTTATTACATTAAACGCCTTCATACGATATTAAATATAATACAGCTTATTAAGTGTTCTTCATGTTCTCTGACTACAGTGTCGCCGGTTTAGAGCTTCGGTAGGCCCGCGTTAAGCCATGGTATATATCATGCTTTAAATACATTGGATTCGCTGTTTTTGTGACCACAGCTAAAACATGTTAATCTAGAAGGGCACTGAATTTGGAAGTCGGTAGGTGCCTATTCGGATCTACGATAAATAGTACGCGTTAGGGACTACATGTAACGATATGATCGAATGGAATCAGAAAAGCTAAATCTTCGAAGATGACTCGACTATCGTCAGAGACTCCATGTTTGAAGCCAGGCGCCATTTTTATTCTATCAACACGAGAATCTGACCATTCCCTTTATACAACAGATAAAATTTCTAATTCGACAATGTTTTATGAAATAGATGGATAATAGGTAACAATAGCTGAGCCAACGTTGTACGTTTCTGTATCTTATTTATTTACCAAGTGAGTGAAAATTGCTTTCTTGTCGAAACCATGGTGCTTAGGTTAGTTCAACTCAAATATTCAAGTATATGAAGTTCTATATTTTTTCGGCAGAAGTTGCTAGATATCATAAAACGTAAGCGTTAGAGTTTTGTTGCATCTTTTCTGCCTTTTAAGATTGAAGACGAACTTCTATGATAGGTTTTTTTTTTGTTTTTATTGATTTCATACCTGTTGTCCAGTGCCACTGCAATACACACCGATCGCAGACAAGATCTTTAGGGAGTTGACCCTTAAAATTATAGATGCCTTCCTTCGACCCTTCGGGAAGAGTATATCTGCGAGTGAATAGCAATAAGATTATTAAAAAACAGATGAGTGACGGTCATATAATGAGATGTGTGAGCTTTGGCTTATGTATGTTCACTCATTTTACCTACAAGCAGTGTGCCGGTTACTGCCTGTCCGAAAATATTAACCTTGAAAGCAAACTGAAGAGGAGCTACAACTCATTCTAAAAGTGGCTTCAAATAGTGACTGATATTCTGAAATATTATCTTGGAATCAGGTTTAACACTGTTTGAATCTGTAGTGAAAAAATCGAGAAATAGGGAATACTGTAGTTTTTTTTCAACGATCTCCATACGCTGACAGGCAGTGCTACTCAATCGTACTGAGATTCGCTGAAAGAGAAACAGTTGAGAGTACGAAAATCGTAGCTGTGGCAACTCATTTGCCTTATGTCTATATTTTGCTAGAAATTTGTCAGCGCTTTGCAAGCTTTCAACTGATTTTACCTGGAGGTTTGATTACCGACGAGCATGATAGGATAATGGTCAAGGCACTCCTGCGTACTCTCTTTGCCATCTTCGACCGGACAGAGCTTGAATTCAAACCAGCCTTTGTGATGCGTGGTAACTTCGATGACGATTTCGATTTCTTCTCCCTACATAAGGGTGTCCATATTGTTTAGGTCAGAACAAAAAGTAACAATCAATTCATAATATCTTGATTATTTAACCATACAGTTAGCGAGACTTAGAGGGCACATATTTGATGAAAGTATTAGCTCTTTCCTATTTTTAGTCGATGTTACACAGTTAGCAGAACAATCAAAGATCGACAGACAGGTGAGGGCCAGCTAGAAAAACTTCAAAAAAAAAAAAGAAAAAAGCAGCAATACGACTAAAAAAGTTGTATATGATAATTATGAAAACTGGTATCAGTTAGAAACGAAGCTTTCGTTTACATATATAATACATTTCATATTACCTGCAAATATTTTCTAACGATTGTTCCGGTACCATATTTGCCCCCATCTTCATTATCCCGTGGTGGTGAGTCGTCCCAAGGATCCCCGCAAATTCCGCATTTTCCATTATTCGCTCCATATTGACGCTGCATTATTATGAATCGAAAGCCACATATATATATGATAACGACTTTGCTGTCTTCTACAGTAAAAAGTAGTATTCATGTACGAATGATCGTAATATGTGTATGTCTAGGAATTATTTTTTTCTTTATTTTTAACCCGTATAACAAGGGTACTATATTTTTAAATGTAGTTGCGTATAGTTAGATAACATATTACATCAAAGCCTCCGCAGAACAGTTCATTATCGTTGTAGTTTTTAGGTGTGTTGAAGCCAAAACGCCAGGCTGAAGATCGGCCTGCCGGTTCCAAAATACGACCATGACCTAAGGCCTCCACAACAACCGCAGCGGCAAGTACTGCCCGAAACGCCATCCTGCTCTATACCGTGACTAGGTATATAGCCTTTTAATTAACAGAAGACTCTGAAAATATATTGCCAGACCTAATGAATAGGGTACTACACTTTAACAGGTTTAGAAGCGTACCTAAGGCATGCTGCAATCATGTCTAACCTCCATTAATGATAGAAAAAGCTTCCAATATATTAAGAACGGGAAATAAAATCATAGATACGCTCCTTAAGCATAGCTGAGCGGTGTGCCAACATAAGCAGGGTAGAACAACGCCGTGCAAGTGCAACGTAGGTGACTTGAACCCTAAACGTGTAAAAAATATAATAAACACATAATATAATAATAAACACATGTAAACCGTAGTAAAATTTTGATCGAAAATTTGTAAATTGATAAGACCAGGATGACTGTAATTATTACAGCCTATATGAAGTGTCATACCTACATGTGTACATATTACCATAGCCAATGAAGCACAAAATTATGTTCAACTTTATCAAATATATCGTTGCCAGGAATAGGGATACATTAACGGAATTATATTTGTAACAGATTTCGAAACGCATGACAGACTTACGAAGCTTGGTACAACTATGCGTTAAGTTAAAGCTTGGCGATATTTAAGTATGCTAGCAAAGCAACTGTATTTCATCAACCACCTTGGGCCCGTTACCACATGCGTAAGGGAGAAATTTTATTCAGCTTTGAATAGGTTCATTTTTGATATAGGTGTAGGCAAATGCAGTAGGACAGTGAGTAGAATACCTTTCACACTCGATAGCTTTCTATTGACGGAAATTCTTCTACTGGCTGCTTATGGTTTGCCAGTATCAGATAGCCGATTAAACGTAGCCTGACGAATTGATCACCTTTTATTGGGTTAGGACGAGATCAAAAAAAGGACAACGTATGCTTCTTTTGTTTAAACTCGTTCGTTATAGTTCACGTTTTGCCACTTGAAGTAAATTAAATATTAGTCGAACGCTTGTGCTTATTCTGAACAACTACCTTAAACAGGTTTTAAGCTAACCTAATTACTGAGGCGTTCCCGTTATTCCTTTTCATCATTTTTACAATGCTCAGCTCGGGCATATACGATGCTCACTAAGCTATAGAGGGGATTATAACCTAGGTTTTTCCTACCTGAGCATTGTAAAAAGCCTTAGGGCTACGATTTAAACTCGGGCATACAGGGAACTCGTTCTATGCTGGGAGTCAGCCAACTGTCTGATGAAATGCCAAACACTGATACCGGACGTAAGGCTGTAGAATTCAATCTTATTATAATAGAGAATAATTGTATTTATAAACGTTTTTTCCGCGACGAATAGAGTTACATATTTTTAAGTGTTTCGTTTTCAATATTGATCTTTCGGATCCGTTGGTGTCCTGCGCCAACTGGAGAAAAATTTTGTTACGCTAAACACTTCCTCAGAGTATCATTGTTTCTGTCTGTTTATCGTCGCTTTATACCGTAACGGCGGCCGTGCATTATTAGTATATTAAACTGCTATCTATCCCAACCCCCGTATTCAACACATTTTAAGCAGAAAGGATGAGCCTGATTCTAGTTTGAATTAGGCAAAAACGTGCTTCGAGTTTTTCACGAGACGCAGGTTTATTTGTTGTATCTATCAGCACCAATATTCCCCCCGGCGCGGTGTTTGCCTCTTTGTGAAAATAACAGAAATTTTTATTGCACATGCTAGCGGTGTCATTCCTGAGACTATAATTTATTCAATACAGTTAGCAGCCTCCGCGATTACAGTTTCAATTAAGAATATAAGTTACTGAGTAATTATTTTCACAACATTCTCTCTTCGATTTGCACGTAATTTTGAATAGTAACCGTCTGTCAAGCAACATTGATACATGTAAACTTCTTCTATTGACATTTAAATACGTTGCACATAAAAAGATCCAACGGAATGAAGTTTTGGCCTGACAGCAGACCCAAAGTCTCAAAAATGCGAACACTCACATTTACCAAAAAAGAGCAAAAAACCCAAAAAGCGAAGTCACATAGGCGTTGGAACCTATGTGGACGATCCAATTGGCAACTGATCTTATCTATTCTTAAACGGCTGTTAATTTTTGTGAAGACCTAGATGTAACACAAATGGCTTTTTGAGCCATTTATGTGAATCTTAGAGCCGGTGGTCCTAAACACTATTGAAGGCTATTTTCGGATTTTTCAGAAGCTGCATCAAGAATGGCAACAACCTAGACCGCCAATTTCGCGCAAAAATTGAAGTCTGTAGTACTGGGCGGGGTTTGCCTAGCGTGAAGGGATTGGACGGTTGTTGATTTTTCTTTAAATTCAAAAACGACGCGCTGTTGCTTGCCATAAAAGAGTCGTTGTTTAGAACTGGCTTGGTCTGGTACTGGTCGTAAGCACATGCCTGTTCCGACAAACAGCCTGCCAAAGTTCATCTCCAATGCATTACCTTTAACTTTATCTAGTGCAACAAAAAAGCCTGCCAAACGGAAACCTTCAGCTTTTGCTAGAGGCTTATGCTCTACCGTTTTCGGGGCCTTCTATTAACTATTTCTCGTATTTTACATAGAGATAATGGTCAGGAGAAAATAAAAACGAACCGCTTTTGTATAAATTTATGCACAATTCTACTTACCATGTAGATAACACACATAACTAACGAACGTAGACTCATCACAAACCAAGCCTTGAGTAATCACGATCCGAGTGAACTTTTATAAATATCTCCTGTTTATATGCAACCGATATATTTTTTGACGGATTTACAGCATTGATTACTAACGGCGTACTTTGAAGCTTTAACGCATTGTGTTACCAATAGCGATTGTTTTGTAGCGGAATATGCGTATCCTGGACCTTGAAGGCTCAGCATATCGATACGCTCAGTGAGCTGCCAAATCCTAGGCAGCATATATTGAAGATGGAGTTATTTACGGTTGGAGGAACGGGCGACAAAAAACGTATCTGACTTGCTGACTGTAGACATTTGATTTGTATGTCCACCCCCACACAAACTTTTCTGTTTGGAAAACAATGCTTTCCAATAGCTTAGAAGTCTAATTAAATGTTCTACCTTGAACAGCTTTCTATTAAAACTACGCTTCTAAGGTCCTTTCAAAGGGACATATTGGTTTTGGCGGAAACTATATAGATAAAGCAATAAGCATAGATGACCCAGGCTTGTGCATGACAGGTGAAAGAAAATACTATTTAAGATTATAGGTAGCTTAATATGCGGCGTCTCTAAAAAAACGAACGTTTATGGCTTTTGTCCAACCCTTGGCACTTTGGGATTTCTTATGTAAAAACATGGCAGTGGCATGCGGATCTAATAAATTATACAAGTAAATGTTCAATAGTTTTCACATTTCGGCAGTCTCGTAAAATCAGCGTATGTTCATCCCATAGTTTCCAAACTTGAGGTACAAGCGTTAATTATCTTTCAGATATCGTTTGTACTTATACAAATATTTTGTACTTATACAAAAAGCACACAGAAACTTCATTCAAAAGTTCAATCAAAATATTAAAAAAAAAAGTTTAATAATCAAGTAGAATCCGTTATAAAATAACCTGATGATCTCGAAATGAGTAGGGAAGCAACGGACAGCAAGGAACATCGTAAACGGCGTAGAAAATAGTACTCAATTAGGTTTACCAAAGTATTTTTCAACGCATTCAACAAATAGATCACTAAGTGCTCACAGGTTTTCATAGTCATTGCTCGTAGAGTCTAAGAGCTTCACTTCAGACTTCATTTACGTAATAGGCCAGATGACGTTAGAGGCCTCCCGACATTTGACAACAAATACAATAATGACTTGTTAGTGCAGCTTAGATCAACTCATTTTGAAAAATCTACGTCCGTTTCTGACTGTTCATTACGAACACCTCATGAAGCTACAATTTATAGTTTGGGCTCGAGACCAGACGTATCGAGACAGACACATCTAGTTTCGTGACGGGTCCGACCGTAGTAGTGCCTGATGCGGGATGTAAATGTTGAAACAGTTCGATTTTTACAGTTACAAGTGCTTATAATACAATTACAGTTGTGTAAACTGGAAGACAGACATCTACATAACTACGAAAATTCGGCATTAATACACCGAATTGCCATGGTTCAATTTTACGTGGCCACTGCTGTCGGCCGTTACCGTCTACGATTAAAACCAGATTCTACCTCGAAATGAACAATTTATTCGCTGTTGAAATATGTCTCTCTGTTCAGCTGTCAGTCACAGAGATTTCGTCAAATACAGTTTAAGGGTGAAATAGGTAATATACAACACGGACCAGCCCGTCTAATCTTGTGCATATACATCGTCGTCTCTACCCGAACGTCGATTGACTATCGCATGAACGGGCCGAGTGTGCGGTCTCCAACAGCCAAAAACCTAAGAGCTATGACATCTGCGGAGTTGCGTTACAAAAATGAGACGATACCAACAATATTGTTAGATTTTAGATCGCAGCAGATCCTTTCCTTTCTCGCTTCTGTCGCCGGAAAGGAGTTGGGTGACAACGACATTATTATTTCCTGTTCTCAACTGTTCACGCGTTACATCCTGTTAACGATTAGAACAAACCCAACAGGTCCCTCATATTTCTTGTCTCAAGGCATCGCTTCCAGCACTGCGCTAGAGCTATTGTCACTGCGCGGTAACAACGGCCCCTGCTTAGTTCTCAAGGTGCGTAATGGAAGAATACGGCGAATATTAGCTTATATTAGGTATTAAGGCATAAATATCTAGTATGTTATTACTACTAGGCTGTAAGTAGAGTACCCTGATCGCCCCCATGAATACGGAATGGGTCATTGCGTAAAATGCTTCACCAGTGTAGCTTGTGTCGATTAATACCCTAATGAAATAGATTTTCAGAGCTGCATATCTCGATCTTATATATGTTTGCCAGCATCAAAAATATTTCATAAATTATACTGGCACAAATTACGTAGTGCTACAACGGACGGCCGTGTGTGTGGCCACTGGTGACAACGCCGCAGCTGGAACACAGGAGAATAGGCGGAGTCTATAACTTTCTCATATCGAGTTCACAGTTTTACGCTCTCCAATCTGCAGATGCAGTATCGATTCGCCAATATGCTTCCGCTCATCTTTCTAATATCGGTGACCTTTCCGGCTGGACCAACCGGTAACTTACCCGCTGTTGAGGCATCGTTTCTCAACAGTGCGAAATATCTGAGAGAACTTTTGCTCACTCCGGAAGTTACCGAATGTCTTAAGGTACGTTAGGCGTACGGTCATAAAATTCGAATGAATTTTATTTGCATTACCGAATCATAGATAATGTTTTGCGCATATGTATTAGGCTGTTACGAGCGAATCCGGCGGACTTTGAAATTAAATACCGTTTGAAGTACGCGCCACCAGCGGACAAATTATAAGTTCCAGTCTTCTAGAAACTTGCTAGTGACAACTGATTGAGTTTACTTCAAGAATAGAATGTGTTTTAGTTTCGAAGAGCGACGCTTAATGGTCAAGTTTCTGTTCGTCGAAAACTACAGCGCTGTGGAAATTCATCGAAGATTAATTAAGACATTATGCAACGGGGCCTTATAACAAAGCACACTACGTAAATGATCCAGACGCTTCAGGATGGAGATTGGAGTGTTGAAAACCAGCGACTAGACCTTGTGTTCTGAAGGGCAAGAACGCATTGCTGAAGTCGAGGATGTTTGTCATCAGAGTAGAACTTGAAGTCCAAGCATTAAAACTAGTACTTCACATGCAACGTAGTAGAGAATTACAACTTAAAGACTAATGATGCGGAAATTGGGTAAAAATGGGTTTCTTGTAAATTGGCCGCCGGCCTGTTGACAATGCGTGTACCGTATTCCACATGCGAGTTGTCATGTTAATTAGCAAAAGGCCTGCTTGAAGCACACGGTTGTCTCAGACTACGCATGGCTCTCGGTAAAGAGGGGCGAGGCCAGAGAATAGCGGTCTACGGAATAGTTTAGTGCATGACTTATTTGCCTGCTACTCCAAGGTAGTAACCTACCTCGTGAAGAGGGATCGAATTCGGTAGCAGTGCGGAGCAGGCTCACATGTAACGTAGTGATAGTACTTGGAATGGACATCAGGAGCGTTTGCAATTAAATGATTACCAGACATGAAACAATGAATGCAGGTCGCTACCGTGTGTTCCTTTAGAGCTTCATAGGTCGTTCGCACGAAAGCACGCGTTCTAATTACTCGATTACAACGTCAGGCCTCATCGCCATGCCTCATTACCTCTATGACTGAGCAAACGAATAGTCATGTTAGCTTCAATCAGTTTATCTAAATCCGCGTGATTACGGGGCTTTCTATACCCTAAAAATGGCGACTAGTATATCGGTTCGCTCGGAGACGCCATCGAGTGAGGAATAAGGACACGAATGAAAAGTTTAGGCTGGTACATAAAGTTGCCACGACGCCGGGACACAGGTGTAAAATGTTAGAGGAACCTTTAACAAATATTAGGTCACAACTTTAACCTAGCTAGTTCAAAAGCTATTCAGTTTCAACGTCCGCCGCTGAAATATATATATCGTATGTGTTGTTATGTGATCACGGAATCCTTTTAATGTTTAAAGCCTTAATGCGGGACACTAACATGAAGTTATTCTATAATGCAATACACGTTTGTTAACCTGCATTTGCTATAGTCGGTCCCCGAAGAGGACGTTGATGAATATTTCGAACTTCTATCGGCGGCGCAATTCCGCTGTGACAGAAGAAACGTCGCCTTCGAAGCCTGCTTGGAATTGCTGAGAAGATCGCAGCACATGTCACCGAAAATGAGGAACGTTGATCGCACCATAAATGTGCCCTGTCCTAAAATAGACTAATATATACCCTCGATAGAGACCTAAGTATGCTTTAGGGGCACAACAATGAAACATAATGTTAGTAAATGAAGTCACGTCAAAGAAGCGCTTTAAAATGTTTCGAAGAAAAGAATAAAAACTATATGTAATGTAAATAGGCTTAAATATGACAGTCGGGCGTCAGTCGTCGAATAATGGATAAAATAGATTCCGGAGATAATTACATCACAGCAACGGCAGTGTAGTCATTATGTAAGAAACTAAATTGAATAGGCAAAGTGTGCAGCTAGTAAAGAAAAAGAAAAAATATATTTCTTGCTTATTGGAAATATGTATTGTGCTCATAGAAGAGGAATAGACCGTTTTTCGTTCGTTATGCGTGCTCTTAGAACGTTTCTTATGCGAAAAATGTACTTAATGGCCTTGAGCCTTTGCTTCATGAGGAACTAAACACAATCTAAGAAAAAAAACTGCTTTCATTAATTGTTAAACAAACATAAGCTATAGCCCTCAACACTAGATGATATCTTGCTATCTAATAGCAATATCGGAGCACCCCCTGAAAGTTTCCTGGGGTCCACAACCTAATTGACCACGGCCATCAGGACAAATGTCCCATCGGTTACCTGTAGGAATGCAGAAACAAAGGACCCTTGACAAATGACAAAATCAACTAATCAGCAAAGACAGGCTATTTTAAATGGCGTAAATGATGCGACGTTGACGTTAGATCCGTTAGCGTTCTTTCTTTTTTTCAATAAATCATATCAGACTTGTCGGTCAATTGCCGACTCGAGGCTTTAACAACAAAGATATAGCAATTATATTAAGTGTGTGAGTAATGAAGAAATTTACTGACCCGTCCACCAATGCCACTGCATGACACATCGCTCGCAGGTAACGTTAGTAGGCAGTCTTACGCGGAATTCATATAGACCATTACCTGATCCAGGAGGTAGAGTGTACCTAGAAAAAAGAAGACGATCTGATCTCAGATTTACGAGAGAGGAAAAAATCTTCCGCTTCTAAGCGAACACGGCACCGACAAAGATTAGTTCAACCACTACACAGAAACATCGATAAAAAAAAAATGTTTACGGACGTACATTGACAGTTAGAACAGTGTATTACGTTGTGTCAATTAGTTCTAGTAGTCTCCTGCCTGATCGCTTAAAGTTTCATGCTAGAATTTCCAGCTATTCTCTCCGTGTAGACAAGTCTTCAAAATCTTTTTTTTCCTTGGGTATAGCTAGAGGGATTTGCCTCTGTTAGAAGTCTAACCCAAGTGGGTTTTGCTGGATATAACTGGGTCTCTAATAGACGAATGAAACCTTGTGGCAAGCATACAAGCAGCGATAAACCTTCATAACAATGGCTTATTTTCCCACAGGCCGTTTCTTCTTCTTCTTCTTTAAATCGTTACTTTCCTAATCAATGAGTGTTTAATAATCGTTTAAGAACGCTGAGACTTGAACGAACATGGCGATGAGCCATAAAAAACATGCGAACCTAAAAAGGAAATCATTTATGAGAAATTTTATGGTTTTTCTAGTAAAACTCACCTTGTCGACTTGCTTTCTTCGATGTAAAGAAGATGCTTGTCCAGCTCCGCTTGTGTCGTACCATTATTGCTCCAAGCGGGCGCAAGACGAAATTCGAAATACCCCTTATGGTGAGCTGTTATTTCAATTGTTACGTCTACCGTTTCATCCTAATTAACAGTATCCGCATTAACAAGACTGCAATATATTAGGTGATATGTACTTCTACCGGCTGGAAAAGGAATCATCTATAGATGCCAGTAGAACTAGCAAAGTATGAAACCTCTATGAAAAACTAAGCAATAACTTGAAAAATGTCACATGACAAACTACCATAGCCCTTTCCCGCGTTTCGCACATCACCGTATAATAAAATCGTTTTGGGTCAACTTATTGTTTGCTGGAATTAGAAGACTGCGCACATCGTAAACATTTACAGGTTTTTAACGATATAAAAATTGTCCAAAACATTTATAAATAGAACAATGGGCACGGTTTGACAAATTGCCACCTAGTAAAGTAAAGATGGGCTTCTCACATGATGCCACCTGAGCGCAAGATATCATGAAGTTATTCTTGATTGTATTTTGGACAGTTAAATGCTAACCATGTGCTATATATACATATAAAGCATAAAAAACTTGTTGGTATATAAAAATTGTATAAGCATTATTATGTATAAGCTATTAAAGAAACGCAGTTGCCCGAAACGGTCGAGTTTATGCCACGATCTTCAAACATAGTCATTATTATTATGTCACCTTTTTTTCTCCGTCTGGCCAGTTTCATTATGCCCGAGTCCAGCTCGAAGTCATACAGTACTTTTTAAATGAACAGAACTATATAAGAATCTCCTCGAAGCAAAAAAATATTTTACGGTGGTCCAGAATTGATTTAATTGACCGCATCATTCAAACGTCTCTGAGATGCGTACTGATAGTCCGTAATTACCTTTGAATAGGTACGATAAACCCTTCGAGTTCCGTACAGACCGCCATCTTCATTCTCGCGAGGTGTCGGAGTGTCCCATGCGTCCCCGCATATTCCACACCTTCCTTCATTTACGTTATGCTGACGCTGCGCAGAAAATAAGAACATTACATAAATACAATAAAATCTATTATAAATTGTTGTGAAAACGCATCATCCTTCGGGGAAGGTGAGTAGAAATGGCGATTTGTTACTATGTATTTTGTTTAACGAAACGATAACTCAAAAATTAGGTTAGCGGCGTACATCTCTCTGTAACCACTGCATCGTATGTCAAATTTAGGTTTTCATTTTCGAACAAGTCATTTCCGATAGGCTGTTCAAGTGCTTTCAATACTACACAGATACGTCTTCAGATAGAGTTTGATAATTTGGTCTATCTGTGCCGACAATACGACAACTGCTCACCGTAAAGCCCCCACAATAGAGTTGGTCGTCGTCGTAGTTTATAGGCGCGCTATAGCCAGTCCGCCAAGCGGAAGATCTTCCTGGAGGCTCGAGGATACGCCCATGGCTTTTTACCAAAGCTGGCCACCATGAAGATTAGGTCCGCACCACCAAGAAGGAAACACAAATGTTGTTTAGTGATTTTGCCATCGACGCGCACAACTCTTCGTTAGTTTGACTTCCACTAACGTTTTGCTTGAAGGACGATTGCAATAGAACTTGCATTGAAGAACATTCTGCAGGCGGCAATTTGCATTGCTTGCCATTTTGGCCGCATGGACATTTGTAAAAAGCGAGCCATAGTAGTAACTGCGTTATGCTATAAACAACGATAAGTTAACCGGCTACGTTGACTACTGCTCAGCCCTAGCCGACGACTTTTATTTAGAGTTGGACTTTTCGCAAGTGTTTAAATCGTAATTTCGAGGACTCCTTGTTCGAAGCGAAAAGCTGGACCGTTTCCAAGCAGCTCTCCGAGCACTAGCTTTTTCCGCGACGTTCCATTATATCATTTGGTCGCTATCATAGAGTACGTAATGAGAGGAACATGGTTGCCTTTCAGATATATTGTCGCTAATGTGAATTTCTAGAGCAATATGGTTCGTAGATATTTTTTCTACAAGCAATAACCAAAAACGTGTCACTTTTAAAAGACGCTCACCTATTAGAACAGCGAAATAAAAAAGCGTTACCATACTGCTTTCTCGTGCAATCAACTATCAGATAAACTAAATGGATATGGGGCACACCGCATTTTATATTTCCGCCGATATCAATTTGCCCGCATTACGTCCGCGCATCCTAAAACTATATCTATAAGGCTACTGCTTTTATCGATTAGCCACAGCCTATATGGGTTCTGTCATGTCGTATGGGGGCTATAATATGGGCGCTAATTTGACAAAGTCTCTAAATTGTGCTCGAAAACACTATAGGTAAATGTTCACTCGCGCAGTAGCATTCATATTTGGTTTCAAGGGATTTATTTAGGCATTTGTTAACTTGAACATTGGGATTTGGTAGAGAAGGGGTAGCATGACGTATAGCCACTGCTGGTGAGTGCAAACACGAACTACGCCATATAAGACATCTTGCCATAATGCTATTGACAGAATCAATCAGAGTCAATCAATCGTTGATTGATTCGAATTGTTATTACTAAATCAAATCAATCAATCACATTCCAGCAATAATTCATAATCCTTACAAAACCCGCGTCACTAGTAAAAATAATATGTTGCTTCATCTGTTAGCTCGCGCAATTTTTAAATCCATTCCCTCTCGCGGGGCCTCGCCGATGTCGTTAAGTAGTTTTTGAACGATATGTCCTTGTTCGGGTTCGCAGCTGTACGGACGTAGGCAAATTAAAGCAATCAAGCTATAACTTAAACCTGTAAAGGACGCTCGTTTATAGGTGGAGCACTTTCCAGCTAAAGGCCTTTTGATTTTGTGTGAAATAACAGCCTGGATAAATTTGATATTGAAAGAGAGCGCTGTTATCTAACCAATTGGTTGACAGGTACGTTTATCCTGATTTTTGCTTCCTAACCCAAATTTGAGCGAAACAAAGTTTCCGCTATGTTTACGTATCGCCTTTTTGTTGTTGCTGCTGCATAGAGTCGGTGTTACTTGCGTTACCTTTTCGCCAAGTTCGATTTGGCACATGCAAAAAAATTCAACCAAAAATTAGACAAAATGAACTTCTTAATTATCGCGCGGAGAACTACTATTAGATGTTATATCGACGCATTCCTCAGTAACTTACATTTTAAGGGTGAACCGGGATCAAAGCATTATTAGCACAGTGATTTTAACTTTACAGGATTAAAGGACAACCTTAAAAGAGAACCACAAAGATGTATCGGAGGGCTCACTGATGCATTTGTGAGATTTAGGGCGCAAGTTGACATCGATACGTTTGAACAAAACAAGTTTGTCATCAAAAGCCTTACGCAGCGCATAAATGAGAAGGAGGTGTCCAAAGCTGTAGGCCTCATTCTTTGCCACAGAAACAAAGGCGGCGTTAGTCTGTAATCGTATAGTTTATATGCTCCACAGCAGCTTGTCGGATTCTCTCGCTTCGACGAATCCTCATTGCTAACTTTCACACCAGATTACTTAGTGAATAATAAACGCTTGTTTTGTTAAGTGCCCACAAAGAGATCACGAGAGAGCATACCGTACGAATGAGCAAGTTAATAAGGAAATATTACGATGGCCTGCGCTGTCTGGTCAAAGGCTGTCCAATGTACCCTCTGACTGCTGTAACTATAATCGAGCAAACCATCAGGCAACATCTGTTCCAAGTATCTAGATCAAATACAAGTGAAAGCCTGCCGACGGAAACTCCCTGCTAGTATTTGCCCTCACATACGGGCTCAGGCGTTAACAAGACACCTGTAAGACAAAGGTAGCAGATTTTGAAAAGAACTCCGAACGGCAAGGAGAAGATTGACTATGGCATGACTGGCCACGGTAACGAACAATTCTTCAGCAGAATTGTAAGCTCCGCTTGTCTATCCTCCGTTATGAGTTTCACGTCCGGTATCGGCGTTAGGCATTCCATCAGACAGCTGGCTGGCTCCCAGCACCTTACACCTTACACCAGAACGTGTTCCTACCTACATTACCCACTAAGCTATCTCGGGAACAACACAGGGGAACCCAAGCCGCACTAACAATTCTCAAACAGCGTCTAGTATAAGTTTACGGAGGAGCAGATTTGTTGGCGTAACCCAAAGAGGAAGGATAATTTCCTACATACTTTCCAACGCGAAAAAAATCTCCGCAGTTATCCTTTTTCAGCTAGTCTTGATTATCGTTTTTACGCAAACGCTTCTATAAGATCATTACATAGAGAATGGAGCCAGCAGTAGTTATTTCCCCTTTTGCTACTTAGTGTGAGCAGATGTACTGAACCACACTGGGTGGCAACGTTATGATTACAATCTCAATTTTCTAAACGTGAACACGCGTTCACGGTTACACCGGCCGTCCCCAATGTAAACGACTTCACACACAAACAACAAAATTATCTTTACAATTATATCCATATTTTACACAGTACTTACTAGAATCGCCCTTTCGAAATCGGCAACATACATGGCAGAACTCTAGAACTAGATACAGATATCTTGTATACGTAACGGCGCTTGAAAAAGTATATTAGGGAAAAGCCTTCGGCATACTGATTTCAATATCTACGGTATTTTGAAGTATCAAATGGATTTTTTTCAGATGATCGGATGGTTTCTCAGATAGCTGAATGCTTCAAGAGAACTTGCTGATTCTGCTGAATCATCCAGCGGTCTGAGAACTTACAGATTTGAATCTGGACTCCTAGGTTATTAAAGATTCTCTTATTTTTAGTGTATCACATATTATGACAATATGTGGCTGTTCGCTAGTGCTACTTCGATAAGCACCGCAGATTTTGAGTAAAGACGAAAAACTCGGAAATATCAGCCGGAATGTCCCAACATTATACTAATAGTATATTCCTTTTAGGCTGACTAAATTTGTAATTTTGTCTTTTCCTCTGGCTGTCACTGGCTAAGCAAAAGATAAGGGAATATGTTTACATACATGTTTATTGTGTATCTAATTAACAATGACGCTTTTAGCTATTAAACTGACTGACTCAGTCGGACTGACACTTCAGAGGCTTCATAACACAAAAATAAAAGAAAATACATATTGCCGAGGCATCGAGCGCGAGTTACTTTCTCTTGTTTCTCCACCGTCGTGAAACTCTAAAGAACATCATCACGAAATCGATGCAATTTAAAAATGTAAGTTAACTGCTGTACATAGTATAGTTAGCTAAAAAAAAACATTGGAATTTTCTTAAATACCTGAACTTCGAAATTTCTTGAAACGCTTTCTAACGAACCCTGTTGATAAAGATGTTGGCAAATTAGATAAATAAAGTTTTCGCTTACTGCACGCTCTAGAGGTACTTCACAGTAATATATCTGCCATGTGTAAAAATGTATGGATCCGGGCTAAATACCCGGCGTACCCTTCTCTCCAATATAAAAAATAAAATCATATCTTCGAGAACTGTTACGGATTCAAGGTGGGTCAGCTGTGGAGAATGATCGGACGAACAACATCAATCCCGTAAGACAGTCGATTTGTCATACAAAACGCGGAGAATCCGCCAAATCACTGCCAACGAGAGCACTCATTTCCGCTTAAAGGAAGCTGTCCACTTTATGACCGTGTATATAGTTCTAAATGTTCTTACATGCAACTCAGCCATCGGATCTAGCCAGCGACACATCATTATCACAGTTCTGACGAAAATAATTAGACAAAGGCTCTTATTCTTGCCGAGAATCGACGCGCCTTATGCTGCCATTATGCCAAGTTCTGAAATACGACTTTTTACCCATTGTGACTTGGATTCTATATGTTCGGAAATTCAAAGGGTCCAAGCATTCATTTAGGTAGTGCTCTGAAACTTAACATCACACATAAGGTTCTCTAATACATCTGCTTTATCACTCGTCGAGATTTAAAGCATTGAACGAAACAGTAAAAGTTATAGTTTCGGGAGCGTTGGGTGCAGCAAAAAGCCATACTGGTTATTATACGATAATTTCGAATAGTCGTAAGAAGGAAATTACAAATAGCTATTTTGAACACGTACTTAAAAATTCGATAAGTTACAATGTTGACTACATGCTTTAGACAGATCCGACGAGAGGTATCGGCTTGACCACCAGTTAACGATACTTGTTGCAAATGACCTTTTTAACCCAAATCGAATCTCTCGCTCCAGCGGATCCTGCATGTGTTATTGTGATTATGAATTTCCATAAATTTTGCTGCTAAAATTTTGACTGTCAGATGTCACAGGAAGGGGGCTGTTCAGTGACGGCGGAGGCGTTTGTGGCAAATCTAATTGACATCAGGTCGACGCCCCCAATGACGGCCCATGATTCTGGATGTCAGCCAGTAATATCGTACAAAAGAGATTTCGCTTAAGTTTAAAATGCATATTTGTGCGTGTGTATAGATTTTTACCGTTAACAACGGTAACTTTATTTTCTGCTATATCTGTTATTAAAATCATCTATAACCGCGTTATTTCTGCTCTTTACTCGAGTTATATAATTATGTTCCTGTCCATTGAGATTTCCAGATGACATACAGTAATACTCGCGGCCACGTGACGTCCACGTGACGCGTTAGCCATTGTCCAACGGTGAATTACGAGAGGTTGATTTTACTGTTGTTTGAATAAAGTTAGCCGTGGAAAAACCGAAATCGTATATACTTGTGCCCTGCTCGCTATCCAAGGGTCGGGACAGCGAACGATCAAAGAAAGGGAAGCACGACGGGCAGATACGACTCAGGTCTTAGGAAACACGGATTTCACAATCAATTTCACGAATGCAAGAAAAAAAGCAGCATACAAACAACTGTATTAGACTGGTTTCATTGTTTCTGCAGTCACTTCGGAAGCTGTCGTATTGAAGAAATACGTATTAGGAACTAATCGTTTGAATCTGCCAATACTCCGGTCTACCTCGTTAACAATTCCACAATAATGGCCATAGCAACCACATGAAGCACTAACAAAGTTTTTGTTTTTAGCTTGAAACAGTAAGGCCAGTATGGGTGCTGTAGTTCCGGCCAATGACGAAAAAAAAAATCATAGGCAGCTTTACTAATATCACAGTGTCATATATATTATTAAGTAATCGAACAAGGTTACACGTATCGAGGCGACGTACTACCGATGAATGCCAAATCAGCTGTCCACCAAAGGTGACCAAATGAGGATTTCGTGATGCATATAATAATAGAGGCGCTGGCATAGTCCGTCAAGACAGCGGGCGCATTATCAGCCTATAAACAACCATTTTATTGGCAATAGATTCATTCTAAGCAAAAGTTACCTCCAAATCAGCCGGAAACTTTATAGCAGTTATCACATTAGAGGTGTTATATAATATAGTACAATGTCTCAACTAATCTGTTTGGCATTTTGCTTCTATTATACACCTCTCAAAACATTGGTAATGGATGAGATTTACACATAGTTAATTGCCATTTATGCCTTGTCTAAGCACCCATACAATCCGAAAAAATAATACAAGAAGCATTTTTCATCAGACACAATGGTCGAATCACAATAAGCTTCTAATTGTTTGCGAATATGGCAACAGCGTTAAAAAGTGTAGTTCTGTGACATCCCTATACGACGCCAATTGAAGAAATCCTTGACGACATGGAAGTCTTTTTCAAGTTAAAACTTTTGATACTCTGTCATCTACATAAGCTGCCCTATGATGGTTTGTGTAGCTACTGCTGCATTGCTATGTCCATATGAGACATAGTCAAGAAGTCCTGTGGACCCACGTGCGGCCCAACCCAGGGGATGCTCATCAAAAAAGCACTTGTAAATAGCAAGAGGCGTTAGCGATAACCTCCTATTTCCGTACTATTCAGAGATTGTGGTAAATATTCATAAATGAATTGTCGCTACAAATCGTTGCCGTAATAATAAGCAAATCAACGTCTCTGGCTACACGCGCTGCTTGGTCGGGGAAGATGGATAGAATTATTCAATGATAATATAATCGAACAGGGACCGTGTGAAAAAGGTACTGACTTTCATGTATGAAACAACGCTTGCTACTAGTAGTGGCGACAGCTGGGACCATTGCGGCAAGCCGTGGGTAGTGGCAGAAAACAGAAATAAGCTCGGTTATGTTGTGGGTTCCTTTCTGAATAACTACTGTATTAATACGTAACGGTTCAAATCCGGAGTGACTCAACACGTCTGATACAGAGGCTGCGGGCTAAGACTCATCATTACGGGGGGAGGCTTACTCACCGCATTTGAAGAGGCAATAATGGAAGTAATGCCTTTGAATTAAGGGCTAACGCTAGACTCTGCATATGTGACAAGTACGTATATCAAGGCGCTACAGGCTTATTCATTTGAGCCGCGTGTAATTTACCGGCATACTGTTTGTTTACCATCGTTTTCTTGAAAGGCTTGAGCATTAAAATACGTAAAAAATTTAAAAAAAAAAAAATCCGTTGCTATTACTTGCGCTGTTTCAGTTCTTCAGCCTGCAACAACAATAGGCTTTTTTAACACTCCTCATCTCCGGTTCACAAAATTTGCTTTGCTTACATCAGTTTCATTGTATGCTCTCATAATTTGTAGCAATATCTTAATGTAAATATTAATAACTACTTCGTAGAAACTGAGAAAAAAAACGTGGGTTGTCTCAATCTCTATTAGCAAATTGCGAAGAGGCCGAATAGTTTTCGATACGTACGAGACCCGCACTATCGCTGCAGACATCGCGGATCTGGAGCTCGAATTTTATGTGTGAGTCCAAGCAACTTCCAGCTACCTTTTGAAAAAGGTCGGAGCGCCGAAACGCGATAACGGAGTGGTAATGGCTTTAACAGTTAGGGCAAAAAAGTGTCCGGCAACTGCACTTGGTCAAGAACCGTGGCAACGTTGGCATGGTTTGCGAGTTTAGTATGATAGTAGACATGTCTTACTGACACGGCATGTCTGAAATTAATGGGCTGATACCTTACATTTTTTTCGCCCGAAAGGATTACATATCTAGATATTTTAGGTTAAAGAGAATATCAGTTGCTCCAAATGAATAAGTCCTGACTACAAGGCCAACTATTCTTTGAAACTAAATTGTTTAAGAAACTGTTTGGATATAAACGTATGTAGAAATAAGCCGTCAGTCGCGTCTCACCTCTCTTGCATCAGGACTGAAAAAGCCGCCCGCTTGGTTCGCAATACTTGATTGGCAGAGTCGAAGAGTAATTGAGTAAGCAGCGTATTTTTTTAAGAATTCAAGGTCTAATTCTATACGCAGACCGGACTTCACTTCCAAGATCGTCGTCCCGCAATATGGAACCTTCATCCGCTAAACCTCGCCCTTCGTATGACCGGACGTTTGTCTAGAACCGGTTTTTATTTTACTTCGAATTAAAACTTACAGGGTCGACTATATGGAAATTTGTAAGTTTGCTAGTTACATGCCAGTTTCTTGTATCGGGTTTAGTGTTTACCGACCGTTGTATCTGGTCTCGTGCAGGGTTTTATTGCTCGCTTTTGCTGATACACTGTTATACTGATTCTAACTACATCTATTGACATCGTGTATTTGTATGCAATCAAACTGCCATTGTTACGTTCGTGGAAAAGCGGATGCCTTCTTCACCTGATCCATATTTCAAAATGTACATCGAATACAAGTTGAAAATCCTCCACCTCGGCTGAGTCCATTCCTTGATGGTTTATGGCTCCTTTGTGTGTGGCTTAGCCTATGATTGAACTCGACTGGTTGTGGTAATAAACTGTGCATTTCTTCGTAATTAAAGTTGTTTCTGTATCCGTTAATCAATGACAACCTTCAGTTACCACATTTATCCAGCAATCATTCTAGAGCGGTCTAACTAATCGCTCGTTCACCTGATAGCAGTATGTATTCTACGTTGTAAAGAATGCTTGCCCACTCTGAGCAGGCAAATTAGCACATCGTCTTTCTTTTTTTGCAACAATGGTCTTTTTGCATTTCTTTTTCACACGTCTTTTTTTATCTGAACCTTGTTGTCATTGGAAGCCTTATAGCGTTAAGGCTAAAACAGAGACCTTGTTTCTCGTACAGTCTTGCCGCGCTCCTGAAAGCTCCGATCAGGACACTCTCCTTTACCAATATGAGGATTGCCGTTTGTTGTCACCTTGTGCTTCCTTTTTTCCTCAAGCCGAAGGGCTATGCATATTGCTGTTGCTTCGGCAACTGATGTCTACTTTGCTGCAGCGGCTCCTGCAGCTGATACCTAACCCGCCCTCGGCATGACGTAGTGCCTCTCGTCCCTTCCCCAGAAAACCCTCCCCATGGGCCACCTAACCCTCGCCGTCTGTGCGGCGTGCGCGGATGGAAGCCTTATCCCGCTGTACTGGTCGCGCTCGTAATGGTGCCTGGTCGCTTGCCTTTCTCCATCTGTATTGCTGTCCTACTGTCTGATTGCTTCTTCTCAGAAGGAACACAGTCAACTGCGTTCTTTCCCCTTTAAACAACGCCTCTGCTGTGTCGCGCCGTTGTGGCCACCGCCGGGGAGACCAGCCGCCCCACAGTAAGAGTCCAGTACGAGTGCAGTGCGCGCAGTGGTGCTAAATAGCATGGGGTGTTATTGTGGCCGGTTGCGTTGTGGGGCTAAAGGTGCGTGAACAAGAATTTTGGCTTCGTGATTATGCTGGTGACGGTGATGATAAATGGTGACAATTTTGAACTCTGCATCTGTAGTTACAATGAACATATAACATAGATTTTAATGACAAAAAACAAGTGAGAGTTAAAGCAACATACGATGAAGGTAGTGCGTCCTCCACGAGACGTCGAGGATTTTTCGTATGGTGCTAATACTATTCGAAATTTGGCCGGAAAAATTCGCAGCCAGTGAAAGACGTTGTTTTCATAGTTTGTCAACATCTTTACTCGTGTCTACGGTAGACAAACACATCGAAAAATATCTTGTGGAATTTATGATAATACGATAGTGCGTCTGTTCGAGAATCAATTATAATAGTAATATGCGTCGCAGGACGCGTTCCATGTCCGGCATAAAAGTGCACATTTTACGCTCCCCCATGATACACACCAAATCACCGTGCAATTGAACGGGCACGCCATGTTTCGACGATTACTTTAACTGCTTTTGAGTACCTATATAACCTGATCACGCAGGCGGCACGAAGCGGCGGGAAAACGAGTGCTTCGGTCAGCACAGGTGATACCGGCCTCAAAAACAGGCTCTTGCTACGACTCAGTTTCGCGCGCCCGCGCGAGTGCTGCCGTCATCTGGGCAGAGGTAACGGCAGCGTTAGCCGCCAAGGACAAAACGGGACAGTTGGCCTCGTCACCGCCGCTACTGATCGGACAGAGGGTAGCGCCGGCCTGACGGGTACGGACGGATATGCCAGAAGACGGCACAAGAACGGAGACAGAGTAGGTAAAGCGCACGTTGGAGCATGCTCAGTGACATATAGATATATACATATAGGCGGACACAGCAGAGGGTTGCTGATGGATGGCAAGCATCGCTGAAAGAAGAGGAAGGAGACGTTCTGTGCCACACAACACAGAACATAGAATAGCTCTGGACATAAACACACAGGCAAAGAAAGGTAACAGGAGGGAAAAAATTTTCGTTAATGCTTCAACACATCGTTGGACAACAGAAATAATAACAGGATGCTAACAATAATTCGTTGCATTGCTGTTCATGTTAACTGTGTGACGACTTGTTGTTCTTCTTGTTGTCGTCGTGTATGTATCTGTGTGCTGAGGTTCGTTTATCTGTCTGTTTAGAATGACTTGCAAACGATGTAACAGGCCATTAACCAATGAACAAATCGCCAGATTGTCGCCTGCAATCATAAGGCAAAGTTGGTTTTGTCCGATCGTCGCTATGCTTACTGTTGGGATTGTCCTCGTTATCGAAAAGGTGAAGCAAAGTCGAGTACGATATTAGTTTGTATCAGAGATTGCTTTCCCGAATCATAATATCAACAATAATAACTAGATTGCCAACTTCAGTAACAAAAGCTGGTTGACTGATCAGCCACTTGAAACAAAAAAGAATAGGATCTTGTTAGTACTGTTTGTGCTGCGGGCTGTCGTACAGATGCTGACTGTGGCGGCATGGCGGGCACGGGCTAAAAATCGCGATTGCGCCTCTACCGTCGTTGTCCTGCCGTCTACTACGACGACCTTGGACAGACAATGACACGTCGCTCTGCCATCGCTTTAACGGTAGCAGTAACGAAACCAGAGGTTAGTTGTACATAAAACAATAACAACAAAAGCAGTACGTCTTAGGCTACGGGGTCCACTACAGCTTCCGTTCCTATTATTCCCGCTAGCACTACTGCTGCTGATTAGTATAAGTATTATTATTATCACTCTATCTAAACCTGTTGTACAATCTCGCACAGTAGCGGGCGGTGGGGCAGAAGCAGCAATATTAACTTAGCATAGACAACTCCGTTGCCCCACTATTAAAAGCCACAGAGATACAGTAAAAGATAGTCCGTCCGCGCAGTTCGGCTCCGTTCGACTCAACCGCGAAAGTTCACTTGGGAAACTTAAAACAGCTAAAAAAGACAACGGTGAAGGTAACGGCCGCAGCGGAAAAATAGGACGTTCAGGCGAGGCCACGGTAGTGCTGAGCAGAAAATCGTCGTTTACTGGGTCGGCCCGTTGTTCAGCTAGCCGCTCTCTTGGTAAAACAATGTGTGAGCGTGAAACGCATGCGAGGCACGCGCAGCGATCACCTACGGAGCAGCCTCAGCGTCAGCTGGTAGCGCGCCGTGTTGCTGCCGGGGGCATTTACTAGTATGCCCTGCGTAGCACTGTGGAATAGCAATAACAGTGGAAATGAGCGGATCGTTGCCGCTAGAGTCACAGTAAATGATACTGAGATGTTTCATAGTAACGAACGAAGCGGTTATGGCGCTGAATTAGCCCAACGTTAAGCTGAAGAAAGCAACGAAGTGATTTCACGGTTACGGTGGCTTCTTTTGTCTGAAATCGCTGCCTCTAGAACAGGCAGAGGTGCAGTTACGACTTTGGGCACTGCTGCGGCGACCGTGAGAAGATTCAACAAGGGGAAGCACTTAAACGAAGTGGGCGACAAGAGGGCGGAACTGCTATCAAAGGCGCCTGCCTCTGCATAAATATAGGGGCATTGCACCGCGATCATCATTGGCGCCTTATCGCGGTTATCATCTGTGTCAACAACAACAGCTGTAATAGTAACAACAACAACAGGACAAAGCGAACTGCGACGGCCGCTGCCATTGCCGCTACGTCCGCGTATTCGTTCGCGAGACAGTTAGTAGCGTGCCACTCAGCAGCGGCGGTATCAGAAGCAGGCGCTCAATTGCCAACGTTAACGCCTGTTGTTGTGACGCTGGCTGTTGGTGTTCGTTGGAGTTGTCGCAGCAGCAAGGATGACGACTAGCAGCGGTGCCTCACTCTCTTCCGCGCGTCACCTCATTATAAGCTGTCGCGCTCGCCAGCGTGACCAGCCGCGACACAACTGCAACAGTGTCAATAGCAACGGCCGGAGAAAGACAAGGCAACAATAATCTACCACGAACACCACTCCCCATAGCCATCATCATCCTCCGCTAGGTACAAGCGCCATAGCAACGCCACTGTCATCCTCTGGTCCTGCAAAAAATGAAGGCAACAGGGTAAACAAGCAAACGCGTTTTCATCGTAACAGCGGTGGTGGCTATGGTGACGACAACGTTAACTGAATCGCTCGCTCACTAAGTGGCTAGCCACCGCTGTTGCGTGACACTAACGTCGGCGTGCCCCCAGATAGCGAAAGCCAACAGGCTTTACCAACGGCGGTTCACAATAGCCACTCTAATCATAATTACAGCAGCAGCCCGAACAAGACGCCGACTCTTCGAGACGTCGCTGCGGCTGCTGTTGACAAGAGCATTACGAAGACAACAAGTTAGTATTATCATCAACAACGTCGTTGTTACGTTTGTTATTGTCGCACAACTGGACGGATAGCACTCTGGCTATGGTAGAGGAGCCAACTATGGCGACGATACTCCTCCCTCTACCATCGTTGCAATAGCAACAACCCTACGCTTTACTCGAGCAGCCTGCAGCAAGTTCCATAAGTGACCGCTCATCGTCGGCCAGTAGTCACGGTGACGACGGCGGCGGCGGCGGGTATTAGACTGCCACTAACAGTGCTGGCACCGTCGCAGTTGCCCTCTTTACCTCAGTCTAATATCAATTAGAAGATCTGCATTCGATAGAATTGTGCTCATCGGACTACCGCGAATATTAGGCAGGCAAAAACCAAGTGCAGGCGAGGCAGACAAAGAGAGAGAGAGAGAGAGAGAGAGAGAGAGAGAGAGGAGCGAAGGCAACGAAGGCGATTTCTCGTTTCCTGAACGTAGTTTTTGTCTCTCTAGATTCCGGTGTGTAGCATCTGTGGCAAGCGAATTGCTTAACGTTTCTGTAACAACAGCAGCTGTCCTGACAACAACAACAACAACAACAACAACGTCAGAAACAAACTGAGAGATGTGGAACGGAGCAACTGACCGCGAACCAATATTATTGAAGCATTGGGCCGTACGTTGCAATGAACGAAGACTTGGATTGCAGTGCTTTGAACATATCGATCAGTGATGCTTCTCTCATGTGGAAAACTAAAAGGCAACAAATAGCATAGTAATACGAGCATAGGCTAAGCAAGAACAGGGCACTTGTAGTACCGTGAAATTCATCGCTAAATACGTTCTAGCTTCGACGGCCAGCCGATCGTTAAAAGGCACCACCATCCCAGTGCACAGTGAAGCTCCGCATCGCCTGGATACACACACCTATATATATATATATATATACACACACACACATATGGATAGATAGATAACAGTAATAACATGACATCCTGGTGTTCATGCAAGCAAAGATCAGTGGTCGTTTTACTGTACTGTGCTGTGTAATGATACGAATCCTTCTGTTGTACTATGTCTATTTAGAGCAACTCGTGGGAGACGGAAACGGCCTAGGTAGCTCTTGTTTCTAGCGAAGGTTAAGATTGCGCGTAGTGCTGATGACAGTGGAGGCAGCACTGCTGTCCTGGATGACGGTCAAACTGACAGCAGCAGCGGCGGTGCAGGATTTGTGTCGTCTAGAAGAGATACTAAATCGTCGTCGTTTTTGAGAGATTGTTTTTATACATGTACATGCTGCGAGTGAGAGTTTTGCCCTGTGTTCGAATGAACTTCGTCGTACTTGATGCCAAAGCTCCGTGATTAAGTGTGCTTTCAGTGACTTATACTAGGCAAAGGGGACTGTCACCTCTATCAAAAGGGTCACTCGCTGGCCAGGATGACGCTGAGCTCGGACGAGACCGCCGAGCCAGCGCGTTGAATAACAGGTAAGTAAGCCAACTATATCATCTAGATACATCCGGATACTGATGTCTTCATAGACACGCCATGCTACCCTACCGCGTTCGCAGAACTGGGAAGCAGAGGCCACTTTCTGGTTTTTCTTGTTTTGTGTTAGCATGAATAAACGCTTTTCGACCTAGCAGCACCAAGAAAGTGACAGCAGCATCCATACGCACACACAGAAACACACACGCATGTATGTATGTATATATACGCTTTAGCTTCATTTCAAGTTGCAATGGTTTATCAACGTGCCAGACCAGACAAAAAAAAAATGGCCGAACGCATTCATGACCATCGAGGGCTGTCGGTTGGGCCAGCTTAGGTGACGCTAGTTGATGAAAGAAATAGATAAAACATGTAACCATATTCGTGTTGGAAACAAACACAGGTCTCTCGCTTGATGAGTATTCATCTTGTCGATCGCAGTCATGACTTCGTGCGTGACGCATATTTTTAAAAATAGTCAGATTTTGTGCCTTTCATAGAGAAAGTACAGCCTCATTGCAGATTATAATAAACGATCGTAAGTAAGTCTCATCCGATGACGTATATAGACCAGTTATGCGAAAGCCGACCTCCTAAAATTCGAATTTATTAGAAAATATGAATGCTAAAGAACCAACAGAACCTATATATTATTTGGCCTTTTCCGCGACATTCAAAATAGCTGGCCGTCGGACTCTGATGGTACCTCGGCATGCGCTCGCGCGTCGTTAATTTTGATCACATGTCTAAGTCGTGAAACATCAATAAGACCTGTCCCGCCATAGTCCTGCAAACGTATTACATGAACGTGTTAATAGCTACCGTCTACAACGTCGCAATGATGATTGGATTAGACTCTACTGAAAACGGTGCGTATCACCGTAAAGAAGAGCCTATGTCGTTTGGCTATTACGCGTTCTTACCTTCCGACGTCCGTACAATTTCGAATCTGCTGTCGGCACTGAAATTACGTATTCAAGCTTTGAGCACGCTTTGAGAATATGGGGTTGAACGAAAATGTCAACACTGGTTGGGTACCTTGAATATAGATTTAAAGAAAAAAAAAAACAAAAGAGTGAAGCGGTTTTCAGCCGGTTTTATTTTTCTCGCTTCGTTTAGCCTAGGCATCCTTCAAACTCAGTTTCGTCATGTTCTGTGCAACGTTAGAAGTAACTTTAACAAACAGATTGAAGTTAGTTGCTATTACAATCAGAATGTTGCGTATCAAATCTTCACCTTGATTAGCGGGAAAGCAGCAACATATTACCAGCCTTTCTGTGTACCTCGTGAGCCGATAGTAGCATTAAGCCGATCTCCATGCGGACTCGTGAGAGACAACGATCCCGATGCAGGAAGATACGGGTCGAATGATCTCGGCATACATTGCTAAACCCAGAACGAGTCACAGCAACGGGTTTTTGTTAAACGCTACTAGTGTTAGGTAAAATGTGTTCTAGGCCAATGAACATCACTGATGGCCCTATAAGGGGCATTTGCTATCATCCACTGTTTCGAAACGAAAGGCGTACGTTTCGACAGAAGGCTATTGTACAGAAGGCGGAGGAGGGCAGATCGATATCGCTAGGTTGAAAATGGTTTGTGGCCATTATGTATGGAAAGTGCGCTGGGTTACGAGATGCCACACTTATATCACCCTCGATTTAGATGCTGTTTATAATGACCAATGAATTCTCTGCTATTTCGCTACGTCCTGCATTTCATCAGTTCACTGGCTTTACATATAGTCTTGTGATAGTTATATATATGTGTGTATATATATTGAATATGTAATTTATTTTTTTCGCGTATGCCGCTAGTTCAGCTTAAAGCAGCTGATCGATAGTAAACAAGTTGGCCTGAGTCCGTTTGACGTGAGGTTGTCTGGCTATGGTTGGACTAGTATGAAGTCTATGACGTTTTTATGGCTGTAGTGTTTGATGTGCAATCATTTCCTGCACATGAATGCGATTGATCCGTATTGTGTAACCAATAGGTCTTCTGTACCTCAACCTTCTTCATAGTCAAGGTCAAAAGGCAATCGTTGTCTCTAGTACATCGACCAGAACCGTTCTATTACACCTAATATCTGCACTAACTGTTTACCTTACTATAATAACAGCAAATAAAATTTAGCGCTTCCTGTTTATTGAAACAATTGATGTGGGAGCTTTCTCGGATGATTGGGCCTAATAAACAAGTTATTGTTTATATAGTATAATTTGTTTACATCGTATTCGCATGAGGCAAGAATCGAAAACTTGTCGTGGACGTTTGCGGTAGCGATTAGTACAGCTGGCCCGATATCGGTAATATCAATTAGGGGTATTTGTTGTCGACATTGTTGAATCTTACTTTACTCAGTTTCACCAGTAAAGGCCTTCTCTATAATGGATAATCGCCGACAAGTATCTATCTAGCTATAGGTAATGCGGGTATATATATATATAGACATGTTGTTGCACGAATACGTATACGTGTAAACATTGTATTGTAACGTGTTCCGGTATTGTAGATTGGTTATTTTGTCACTATTTGATACATTTCCATTGCCACTGTCTAAAATCCGGAGATTTATAGTTAAGTGCTGTTTTGCGTGGACTAAAATAGTCTACTGTTTTTCATGTTTACCACGTATTGATAAACTGCCAAGTTTTTTTTTTTTACAATTAGTATCCATTTCGGTGGATCTGTACCAGTGATTTGTGCGGCATATGCGTATCCGTCCGAAACAAAAGCAGTTGAGTTTGCTGTTTCTAACGATCTTATTTTCTTGGAAAGGATGTTTCCAGAGAAAAATTACTACCACACAAGTACTTGATCTAGATGATGGGTTCACGGTCTGAGGTGAGCCGTTACTACGTATCACTCATACACACCGTGCCGTGATCAGAAGAAGGCATCTCAAGCACCATGTGTTTATGAGGTTGACAAAGCTGTAACTTTTCGTTTATACGGCAGCAAAGGTTCCCAATAACGTTGCAAAGAAAAAAAGAAAATGTATTTCTCTAATTCGTTCCATAACCATTGATCATAGGAAAAGTGACAGCTAGAACATTTGGTGTTAGTTTCTGTTTTTGACTATTGGATACCTATTTTAGCCGTAGTGCAACGGCCACTGTTAATTGGGCATATTTCACATTATCATAACCGTTCCTTTTGCTTTTCTATATATATATATATATATATATATATATATATGATATGATAAACAGTATACAACCTTCTGCCTTTTCTAAAGAATTATTTCTCCCGTGGCTAGCTGGTCAAAGATTTGGCGGGCAGCGAAATTTGCGAGTGCGCCACCTAACGAGTTTTTACATAGCCAGTTTACATCTACCGGTCGATGGCCGACTTTAGCAAGCACCCCTTTGCTGTCGCCATTTAGTTACGAACGTCAAACGTGGGTGTTTGTAGGCAGTTCGTCGCCTTCGTCTCTGAAAGCGAAACAAAGACACTCTGGAGAAATGATGCCCAGCGAATTGAGCTACGGAAATAAAAATAAGCGCGACGTCGGAGAGACGAAATGTTTGCAAAAACGATGGCCAAATGGCCAGCAGCTATAATATTATGAAATGAACTCTGTTCAATGGTAGGAACGCGTCGAATGAACATCCAGACACGCAGCCCGATCAGGCCAGAATAACAACGATAGTTGCGGGAGTATGTCATTATTCGGAAAGTCCGAAATCTTCTTCTTGCCGATTCCCAAAAAAAAAAAAAACATTTTATTTCGAAAAAGAAAACGTATGATTTAAGGAAGATGTTTCCACTAGCCGTTTGCTCAGACTATCAGACGACCGTGTTACTGTTAACACAGCTGAGACGCTATCGTTTGGGTAAATCGCTGGCTAGATACTACTCATAGCTTGAAAAAACCGTGGATCATAAATGGGTGGTCACTTTATTTATCAAACTGAAGATCCATGCCTATGAAGATAGTATAAAGTGCAACGATTCGTAGTATTCTATATATATACACTTTATTGCTGATATAACGTAGTCGTCATCAAGAGACAAGCGTATCGTTATGGTAGTTGGTGGCTTGCTGTTGTTGTGGCCGGTCTAATTCGGGAGTTTACCGGAAACTATTTTTACTAGTTGATCAGTGGAAAAATTGCAAGCAGACTGTATTGATCGGTGACACAACAAACCCACTTTACAATTGTATATATATATATATATATATGTGTAATTTGGAATTTTCACCGAAAATTGATCGCGTGAGCTGAACGTGGGACGCGACCACGAACTTCACCGACTAATAAGAACGTTAGATGGCCGCGTGTCGACAAAATAGAACCCTTACATCGTGCACGTATCGAAAACGCGATCGATAAAGTAGAATAACACGAGATCGCTATGCCAAAGTGAAGAACCATTAACAGAGGATGATCAGCCGCTGCTATAGATATCACTACGCTGTTACCTTCTTTTACGACAGTAGAGTGGACGGCCGGCAACAATTCTCAGCGAATCGTCGGATGTCTTATCACATCGAAAGTATTCGTTTAATTACAAACATATTTGCAATAATCCAATAGAGTCATTTATAATTTATTATCTTGGTGGTGGCAAAGTTCTGAACGACAGGAACGTCCATGTCGGTCCGATGTGTACCTACTAGGAACGAGCAGCAGATCAGCACTGTGACACGTGGATAGGTTCTTAAATTTTGATAAATCTGCTTCGTAGAGCTTGAATTCGCCAAACTGAGCTCAGACTAAGTCAGACTGAGGTCAGGTGTTGTAGTGTTGCCGTCTATCGTTTAGCTTACTTAACTCTCTGAAAACGTGTCATCTTGACAATATCTAAATGTTCGGTAAATCGTATCGGTCTGCGAGCCATTTTCGAAGCATAATCAGTGCTTGAGCGACTCGAACTGCCTACTGATCTGAGAAGTTATAGATAGAAAACGGCCAACGCTGTTACCTTAATTGTACATTGCTCTAACATATCCCGTTAAATCCTGATTGAATTCCCCAAGCGTATAAAGAAA